TGAATAAAACAATGTGATTAGAACACAAAATCACCGAGGTTCGTGAAGTTGAGAAAGGGTAGCGCTAAAAACATTAAGAGGTGTATGGTCTTTTGTTCCTTCCCACATTATCCTCTTTAGGAACATGACTGTATTTTACAATCACTCTTTCTCCTTCAGTAATCTCCCATTGGCCACTTATCTATCAAGTAACTCTCCCTAAAAGGTTCTTCTCTCCTTCCTCTTCATTTGCATAAAGACCTGAGGGATGGGGCCAGGCTCAATTCAGTTTTTTTTTTCCTTTTCTTTTTAAGATTTTATTTATTTATTCTTGAGAGACACAGAGAGAGAGGTAGAAACACAGGCGGAGGGAGAAGCAGGCTCCCTGTGGGGAGCCTGATTTGGGACTCAATCCCAGGACCCTAGGACCAGGCCCTGATCCAAAGGCAAATGCTCAACCGCTGAGCCACCCAGGTGCCCCTCAGTTCAGTTTCTTCTTATACTTTGACCTTTCTGAGCTTACAAAACTATTTTAGCTTTACCAAAGCATTACTCCCACTTTTTAAAGACCAAGATAGACTATATTATTTCAATTTGTAAATTATTCATAATTTAATTCTGTTCCTCATTTGAGACACTTTGTTTTGTGCATCTTTACAACAGCATGTTTACTTCATGCCCACAAAACTTTTCATGTGTTTCAAAGTCCCAAATAGTAAAGCATTTAAGGTCCTATCAGACTCCCCACAGCAAAATAATTTCAAAGCCATACCTGATTACAGAAATCAATTATCAATGGGTTGTATCAATTACATATCAATTTGGGGCAGAAAATTTCAGTTGCCCCATGTTTCCCCTGAAATGTAGAGTTTATACATAAACAAAAAAAAAATTTGTTACAAAAACAGAAAATAGAAAACCAATTGCTGATTAGCAACATGTGAATTTACTAAGTCACAGACTGTATGATTTCAAAGTTTAGCTATCATCTAACCTGTATCATGACCCTGAAACAAAAAGTCATTTGAAACACTTAGAATTCTGGAGGCAGTGAGTCCCCAGCAAAATTTTAAACTTAAATTGCCCCTCCTTCTTACAGCTTTTCCTAACAAACACTTCCTTCATCATAGCTACTTCTTCAAAGTCGTAGCAAGTAAAATTCCTCAACAACAGGAAAAATAGGAAAACTGAGCTGATTCAGATGAATGACAAGCAATAATTCTCTCTCGCCGTTTTTAAGTTATGATAGCATAAGTATAATAATTAACATCAATAAATAAAACTAACTTTACATAGTAGACCCTTGGAAAATGCTTCCATTAAACAGTGGAAAAATAGTGACAATAAATAACAAGTTTTTGAGGGTTTTTTTTTTTTTTTGGTGGGGGGATAGTTGTTTTTAGACAGGGAGGGAGAAAAAGAGAAGTTGAGATAGCTTGCTTTTTTAAAAATAATATCAAGCATTTTGATATGTGAAAAACTCCAGACTTGGCAGTAATTTTTACATACCACATCAATATGAAGTGTCTTGATAGTGATTATCATTTGTCAGTTTTAGAAGTTGTTTTTGAAGATTTGATTTATTTATTTCAAAGAGCACACGCAGGGAGAGCAGCAGAGAGAGAGGGAGAAGACCAACCCCCTCACTCCCCACCTTCCCACCCCAACCCATCTGCTGCTGAGCAGGAAACCCAGTGCAGGCTTACTCCCAGAACCCTGGGATCACGACCTCAGCCAAAGGCAGACGCTTAACCAACTGAGCCACCCAGGTGCCCCTAGACAGAGTTCTTGAGATTGGGTTTAATCCTTTGTACAGTAAGGTGGAACAGCCATTGAATTGAAAATCCAAGAAACAAATACCATAAAGACAGATTTCTATTTAAGCTCTGATGAAGCTTTAAAAAGGGAAGGAGGTGCTCGTTATTCTGTCTAGTTGGAATTTTATTCAGTTGTGCCAGCTGAGTCTAGTAAAGGGGTAAGAAGAAGGGAAGGAGATAACAGCAGTGGGATGTTGTTCTGGGCAGAGAAAGCAGCATGTAACTTCACACTGGCAACAGCAAGACAGGCTAACAAAGGGACAGAAGATGTACTTGACAGGAGTATAGAGAGTTAGCAGATGAGTAGGAGGAGATGGCATATGAGACGTAGGCTGGGGTGCTAGGAAAGAGCCTTGGTGGTAAAGATGAATAGCTTAAACTTAATGCAAAATACAATAAGGGCCTAGTGAGACAAGTCCAGAAGACCACAATAACAGCTACAATACAACATTTCAACTTATCTAAAGGCAGATTTTTAGACAAGGAGTTTTGAAAAGGGGAGGTTACAAAAGCCAGGAAAGAAAACAGTCCAAAATTTAGTCCAAGTGTTCTGTTTTGTTTTGTTTTGTTTTTTTCTTTTAGACATGAAAGGATAGGGGCGCCTGGCTGGCTCAGTCAGAAGAGCATGCGACTCGATCTCAGGATTGTGAGTTTGAACTGCACGTTGGGTGTAGAAATTATTTAAACTTTAAAAAAAAACATAAACAGGAATTTAGGGTTGCCAGAGTTGTTTGTTGTTTCTGGTGTTTTCATAGTTTGAATAAATAGGAGGAAGTAAACAAAATGAAGCAAGTAAACTCAAGTTTAGACATGTAAGAAAAAAAGTTAGGTGACCAAATCCAAAACAAAGAAAGGTAATAATTAGGCTGAGTAGGATCTTAAGTAAAAATGATAGGGGATAAAAACTTCCTGGCAACTGGTCAGTGATCAATGTTTAGGAAGACAGGGTAAAAAGAAAATAAAAAGAAATGGCAAAGTAAATAATAAAGACAATAATATCCTAAAAGCTTCAAAGAGAAAGAATAAAGCATGATAGTCACAGGAATGAATCATTAAATATAGTAAAACAATTTTCCCAACTACAAGTAAATCTCTTAGGGTTCTTTCTTGTTAAATGCAATTCTAGTTTATTTAAAAAGCTGACTCTTATTTTTTCAGAAGTAAGTTATATTCCTACTGGAAAAAGTTTACTAAAAATTCTCAAGAATTCAGCCATTGTGAAGTATTAAGAATTTTAAACAATTTTTAAGAATTTAAGAATTTTTAAATTGTTTAAGAATTTAAAACAATATTTATTAATGAAGGCCTCATTGTGTACTACACGTTTAAATCCGTTTCTTGTCCAATGTCATTTGAATGCTTAATATCATTTGACCTTAAAGCTAAGAAACTGACATTTTCGCAAATTCACCATTTTGCCACTAGGTGGCGAAAAAACCCAAGTAGTATCTGCTATTAAGGCTAGTACAAAATCCCAAGCACTTAAACCACTAGAATTTCCACCAGGTGTCAACCAAGAGGAGAAAAAAAAAAAAAAAAAAGACTATTTTTCCCACTCAAATACACAAATTCATAGCTTTAAACAGAACCACCTAAACTCAATTAGAGATAAATGTCTTGCCATTAGCTCTCCAAATAGTTTGCGTATTTATATATAATGCTGAGGCCAAGATCACTGCCTTGTCAAATAAGGCAATTGGCCTTGTCAACTTTCCCCCCAAAGCAAGAAAACAGCAAACAGCAAGACCATTAAATACAGTCAAAAGCCTTCTACAGTTTATGAATATATAGTTTCAGATTCTTATTTTTTTCCTTCTACATTTCTTAGAAAGTTCTGATTGCAAAAATCTAGAAAAGTTTATGCTTACACTTTGAACCCCAGTGTGATTTTATGAAAACATTGCCATTTGTTACTAAAATGTTCACAATCGAGAACTTGTCTTGAGACTTAGTATGAGAATTACGATGTTGAACCGTCTAAGGCTATTGGGCCTGTAAAAATTAACATTAGAACTTTACAAAACTAAGCTCTATTCATATACCAAAGCATGCTTTTTAAAAACCAGGTTACAGCCTTCACTAATTTCTAACGAAGATCTATTATGTCGTGAACGTGATGTCAGCTAAAACACTGGGTCATGCTGCCTCGTAGAAGGTGGTACTTTTTTAGGCCGAACTCTATTTTTAATCCCCTGGACAGAGGAGTTGTAATCATGTCATACACTGCACATCTAGCCGGAGGTGGTGTCTTTAAAAAAAAAAAAAAAAAGTCTCTTTTCTTCCTTCTAGGAAGTGGTCAGCCTCCCCCCCACCCCCGCGTCATCATGCAAACAACTTTGTTGCTTTTCGTTGCTATCTAATTAAGAGATGGAAGACAAAAACAGTTGAAGAGAAAGCAAAACCTATTGATTGAAAAACAACAACGACAACCCATTGATGAAATTCTAGTTGCTTCTGCTTCTGGCTCCTTACGGTGTCCTCTCCTCTAAGGTTTCTGTGGCCTTGCCTGAGTTCATTTCCACAACTGCCTACAACGCACTGGTCTTTAAAAAAAAAAATTTTTTTTTCAAAAAAAAATTCTCGTGTCTACGGACATTATTTCTTGTCTGGTTTTTATTACGTCTTCTTTTGAAATTCGTTAGGTCGTGCTCAGCTCAGCAGCCGGCCTCTTGCCCAACCGGTTTCCTTCCCCCCTTCCCCCATCTGCCTTCACGCATCACTTTTTCCTCCCTCCATCCGAGCAGTGGGCCGAACCCCGCAGTGCCGGGAACGCAGGCTTCGGGCTGTGCACTCGGCAGTTTGTCCTTCCTCGGCTTTGCACACAGCCTCCCGGCCCGGCACCAGTTGCGGGGGCCAACTCCCAACTCCCCCCCCCCCCCCCCCGCCCCGAGCCCCACTGTCTCAGGATCTATTAGGGTGAGCTCGGTAAGCGGCCCCGGAGCGCACGTCGAGGGTTTACGGTAGCCCGCCTGCCAATGGGAGCCCACGATGGAGAGAAGTCAGGCCCGGCCTCCCGACAGCCCCGGAGCCTCCCTCCCGCAGCCGCGCACCTACTGTACCCGCGAGCGAGCCGGGGACGCGCCGAGAGGGCGGACAGCAGCCGCGGCGTGCGCCTGCGCACTGGGGTTGTTTTTCACAAAGCTGCTCTTAAAGTGAGCTGGCAGGCTCCAGCCGCCCGTCTTTGTAAGGAGACCACTGAGACTAGCGGGATCGTGCAGCGGCGGCGGCTCTGCTGCCCTGACTTTTTAAGAAATCTCAATGAACTATTTGTAAAGAATCACTGATCTTGCCTGCAAGCTTTTTGCACGGCAAAGACATCGATCAGTGTTAGGTGAAGATCACATTTTATATGTGATCTTGACTTTTTTTTTTTTTGGTCTTACATTATATTTTTATAGATTTTTTTGTTGTTGTTATAAACATGGTGCTGGGAAAGGTGAAGAGTTTGACAATAAGCTTTGACTGTCTTAATGACAGCAACGTCCCTGTGTATTCTAGTGGGGATACAGTCTCAGGAAGGGTGAATTTAGAAGTTACTGGGGAAATCAGAGTAAAATCTCTTAAAATTCATGCAAGAGGGCATGCGAAAGTACGCTGGACCGAATCGAGAAACGCCGGCTCCAATACTGCCTACACGCAGAATTACACTGAAGAAGTAGAATATTTCAACCATAAAGACATCTTAATTGGACACGAAAGAGGTAAGTTTTTTTATATTATGGAGGACTCATTAGACCGATTTTTTTTCTTTGGGAAAGTGCCTTTTCAGCTTTTTCTGAATTAATGTAATTCCACTCCGGGCGTAACACATAGCAGCTTGATGAAGATTAGCAAAGTTGGAAGATCTTGGTTCTCCTTGACATTCATCGTGTGTTAAGCCGTAATGCATGCAGGCATCTGCAAAGTGACTGCAAACTGCACTTAACTACCTCTAGACCCGGCTTGGTCGGTGCCATACGCACTTGCAGTACATTTCTACCTTGCTTGTAAATTCTACTTAAATCCCATCCAGTAATTTTACTAATCAGTTTCCAAATTAATTGCTAAACCCTGCAGTCCCAATATTCCATTTTTCCCCCTTGTACTCTGCAACCTCAGGTCTTAGAAACTAAGCTTCAGTGGAGAAATGGAATAACATTTTTAAGTGGGTTAATAGGTGGTTTTCGCTTTTAATATTGACACGCAAAATACTTTAAAGGACTCATCGTTGTTCTTTGATCAAGGATTTCTGTGGCTTATTTTGACATATGGTATCGACACCCCACGTGTTTTTTCCCTATTCTCTCCAAATCCTTTATAAATTTACATCAAGCATTCTCTATTTTAAAGGACAGTAATCTATCATTAGGATAGGTTTCAAATCAGTTTTAGGAACCATCTCGGGTCAGTAATTTTCTTTTCCGAGTAGGATGCCTAACTTTGGAACGTGCATTCAATGAAACCCGTGCCAGTCAAATGGAATTGAAAAGTATTCGGCACATTGGATTTGATTTTTGGTTGGAAAAGGGAGATAAAAGGTTGTCAAGGGGAGAAGGGGTCCTGAGATTTCCAATCTATTGTTTAAATGGTTACATTGTGGAAATATAGGAGACTCTAAGCTTGTTTTTCTAAGTTTCCACCCTTTGTTAGAAGCGGTTCAATCCTGTTTCGGACCAGTTCTGGGGGGTGGTGAGGAGGGGCGCTTGTTCTGCTCTCAGCAGATTGGTTACACGCGTCAGGTGGTGGCGATGACTTAATTCCTAGCCCAAGAAGAATATAATGTTAAAACTGGTTATGTAATTTCATGCTTCTCCTTTTTAATGCAGTATTTAGTTCAAATGGGGCCGATTTTTCAAAAAGTACAGGACACCTTTAACCTTTTTTCATCTTAAAAACCACGTCCCCGGAGGAAGTGCTAATTGAACTAAGACAAGTGTCGAAATGAAGGATGCTTGAGTTATGGCACGTAATGCATTATTATTATTATCACTATTATTAAATACGAAGATGAAATCAGTTCTTTATATAAAGTTGGGTTTTCACAGTTGCACCTTAGCTAACCTGCATCCTGAGATAATTTCCTAGCTCCTCTTTCCAAGCAGGAACACTGATAAGAACTGCAGATGCCGAATGACAGCCTCGGTATCTGTTGGAAAGCAGACGCAGGGGTTTGCGTTTGAACCTTTCTGGACGTTGCAGCTTTTTATAAAATACATAAGAAACAAAGGTTTTGGAGGAGTTGAGGCTTGCAGCCGGGCTAGTAGAATCACGACTTACGGGGACAAACGCCATTTCATTAGTTGGCTCCGTGCTTCCGTGCTAAAGGAAGCCGGGTATCCCGTACCCCCTTCCCCCCCCCCAAGAGATGCCCCCCCTCGACCCCCGCAAACGGTGGACGGGCTCTCTTTAGCTGGAATAGTTTCAATGACTTAAAAGTGGGACCTCTCAAACTAGCCTGGTAACTGAGGCCCCGCCCCGGGTGCCCGGCGATAGGCGGAGCCGCGTTTGTTAGCCTGTTGCTAAGGCGATGCCGCGCGCTGATTGGATTGGGCGCGGGCGGGTGGGGAGAGTGGGCGTGGCTTGGAACCGGCGTGCGCCGGCAGATTCCCTCCCGAGCGGCCGCCCCCGCCCCCCCCCGGGTCCCCGCCGGGTCGCCCCCTCGCGCCGGCCTTTCTGGGGGACTGGGGGGGGGCGGAAGCCTGCGGCCTCGGGGGTCAGCCGAGCCCACGGGGAGAAGCTCGCGGCGGCCTCGCAGGTGCCGCTGGGCGTGCCCGGAGCCGGCCAGTCCATCCTGAGGGAACTTGCGCGGCAGGGTTAGCCGGACCCCATTTTCCTTTTTTTTTTTTTTTTTTTTTTTTTCGGCTGGAAGATGTCAGGTGGCTTCTGTGAAGGCCCGTTTCCTCTCAGCTGGAACAAAGCGCGTGTGCCACCCCGAGCAGCCCCCAGGCCGGCTACCTCGCTGGGACCTGGGGCCAGGACGGGGAGGAAAGCCGGGTGGGTGGGTGGGGGGGCCCTCGGCGAGCGTCCTCCGACCCCCCCATTGTGCGGCCCTGCCCTCCCCCCGCCCCGCTTTCCCTCACCGTCTCTGGAAAGGTGTCAGGGTGGCCCGAGCCAGATCGAACCGGTCACCGGCTGGGGCGTGGAAAGCGGAAGCGCCGCGCTGCGGCCGCCCCGCCCCCCGGTCCAAGCAGGCTAGGCTGCGCGACCGCGAGCGCGAGCGCCGCGCGACGTATGCCGTATGTATAGCGGGGCGCGCGGGCGGCGGCGGCGGCGGCGGCGGCGGCGGCGCGCGGGCGGCGGCTGGGATCTGCTCGCGCCGGTTTAGGCCGGTCCTCTCCTGCTCCGGTCTAGTTCTTGATTGACAGCCCGGCACTTGTTTACCACGGCGCGGCCGCCGCCGCTCGCCTCAATGAGACTGCTGAGCTGGCACAAAAAGGGAGCGAGGAGGGCAGGGAAGGAGAGGGAGGCGAACTTTGGGCGCCTCGGAGGGGAGCGCAGCGAAACGGCCCCCGGCCCGCCGGCCAGCTCCCGAGGCGGGGATTCGGTGAGGGCGTCTGCAGGGGGGCGAGGGAAGCCGTGCTGAGGGGAAAGGGACTCCGCGGGGCTTCTGAAGAGAAGTGGCCGCGCGGGGACGCCTCCCCCCCCCCCGCCCCCGCGTTCCCCTCGGACGTGAGGGGCCTCGCGTCGTGTGCTCTCGGCGCTTCGGGGGAAAGTCCGCGGGCGCCGGCCCGGGCGCTCCCGGCCAGGTCGGCCTCCGCGCCGCACTCCTGTCAGCGAGACGTTCCCTGCATTCGCCAAGGCGGAAATCAGAGTCCTCAGAAGAGTCCGGCATCCCCGCCCACAGTGTCGTGCGATTTATTTATTCTGGAGAAATCTTTAAAAAAAAATCGGTCTCCAGAAAATGGGTTTAAAAAAAAAAAATGAAAGGTCCTCCTCCTTCCTGGCCGTTGGGAACAACCTGATCAGAATTCGCCTTTTCCAGAATGTTTGGAACAGAGTGGTTTCCCGGTAAAAGCAGGCAGGCCAGGCACCTTTTAGATCTCAAAAGATATATTTTTATCTATGCAAATTTCTGGCTTGTTGCCAGGACAAACTGAAGTGTGATCGTTTTAGATTCAATCAAGAGGTTTTTTTTGTTTTGTTTTGTTTAGCCCTAAAACCGACGTTAAAAAAAAAAATCCCTGTTCCTTTTTTTTTTTTTTTTTTTTTTTTGACTTCCAACATTTCGACAAAGTTTTCTGGTGGTTGTAGGATTTTGACATTCGTGTCCTCTATCAAAACGGACGTTAAAGATCTAGGCGATTTTTCTCTCACATACAGTCATGAATTTTTTTTTTTTAGATTTATTTTTTTAGATTTTATTTATTTATTCATGAGAGATACATAGAGAGGCAGAGACACAGGCAGGCTCCACTCAGGAAGCAGGACGTGGGACTTGATGCCGTGTCTCCAGGGTCACGCCCTGGGCCGCAGGCGGCGCTAAACCGCTGAGCCACCCCAGCTGCCCCAGTCATGAATTTTTAAGTCAACCATTGGAGACCAGGATGGCGTCACCTGAGCTCTGACTCCTCTGTTGGACGTGAATTCTAGTAGTCACAGGTGCCCCGCAGTGCGGGTCATTCCCTTTAGAAAGCCACCTGTAAGGTAGGCCTACGGATCATGCCGGTTTCACAGGGGAGGCAACTGAAGTCTCGGGACTTGTAGTTGTAGTTCGCCCAGAGGGAGCAACCAAAGTCCGAATTGAGATCTCACGGGCCTTAACTATTATCAGAGTACCTTTAACGCGATGCCACCAGGAAGACTGTGTAAAGGTCTAATATCGTCTTTTGTTTTCTTTTCCTGTTTGTTTCAGATGATGATAATTCAGAAGAAGGTTTCAACACTATTCATTCAGGAAGGCATGAATATGCATTCAGCTTCGAGCTTCCACAGACGTAAGTATTATGAGTAACAGGCTTTTTTTTTTTTTTTTTTTGGTAGACCTCTGTTCTTTGAAAATTAAAGTCTCTAAATTTAGATTTTTTTTTTTAGTTTAAAAAAAAAAAACCCTTTTCATTACTGAATATTGCTAGAGGAAAACAATACATTACAAAAAAAAGAAGCTGCTTTTTGATGGAGCCTGGCAAAATTATGGAAAGCAAAGATCGATTCTTAGTCCTCGGTCTTGAAACCTAGGAGGTTTTCAAGACTTGAATAGTATTTCAGGTACTGAGAGTGAATTGGAAGGTGCTTGTCAGATACTAAGCACTTTGTACTTTATCATCAGGTGGCATTAGCGGAAACGTGGAACATATCAAGTCTCTGACTCAATAATTAAAAAAAAAATTAAGCATTTAATCTATTCTGCTAAATGCTAACCAACAGCAGTAAGTTGAAAAGATAAAAATAAATAAATATCCTAACGTTAGAAGTGGATGTTCTTTTGATATGAATTCAGTAGCTTCTGTGCAAAGAACTCCTGAAAAAGTCACACAGGTGTACTACAACCTGGAATTCAAGGGAAACACCCATCAGATACCTAAATATAAGGCACGGATATAGCATGAAAAAGGAGAGTGGTTTATTCTCAGTAAAAATAGATTGTTACAAGAGATTATACTCTCCTCAGTTTTTTAAATGTCTTTATTAATTCTAGTATTTGAATGGTTATATGTGGATAGAGTTCATAAATGGTGTTTTTCAGAGTATTTATCAAATTACGTGACCTCTTTCTAAATGTAATGCCCTAATCTACTTTTAATGGAAGTACTGCGAGTCTGAATATAATGCTAATATTGGACCTGAGTAGTTTTAAGGATGGAGGTCATTTAATATATATTTTTAAAAATTCTATCTATAAACCAAAGTACCTAAAATAGACTCAGGAAGACTTACATAAATACTGCATTTTCATGCTATACACATTAATGCAAGAGTCTAAAATGCAAAATAAATCTGTAAAAACACCACTACTTCTCATGTTAATCCAGGTTAGCACTCTACCTTGTAAGTAACTGACTACTGGGCATATTTCTAATGAGATTATGAAACAGAGACTAAACTTACTGAAATAAAACCTCCACAATTAATAAAATCTAGGGGAGAGTTGAAAACCAGTTCTGATGAAAAGGGGGGGGGGAGAAAACCAGTTCTGATTCTCTTGATACAGATTAATAGAAATGTTTCTTTTTCTTTTTAAGTTCTGTAAAGTTAGACAACACAGCCAAAAAGAGTTCTTAGGACATGAGTAACCTAAGAAATGGAAAAGCAGCTTTTTAGAGTTTCAGGGGAGTTTATAAAATGTGAAATTTTTGAAATTATAACAACAGTCCCAGGCATTTTCTAGACCTTCTTAATTAGTTCCTATAAAAGGAGAGAGAATTCCTAGCCAGTGTGTAGAATATTAGAAATGCCGAAACCATTCTTAACTTTGTTTTTAAATTATCGACCTTTCAAGAATTGCTGACTTTCCAAACTTTCATAATTTTGCCACCAGCATTGAAAGTAGCCTCTTCTTAAAGGGATTGTATTCTTCTGGCTTTTTAAAGCAAAATTTCTATAATACTTAAGTGTTAGCTATTGTTTTTTGGAAAACAGAAGGCTTTTTTTCCCCCAGTGACTTCTCCCTTTGGAAATTAAAAAAATTCTGTTTGATACCTCATTGATATATGAACAGTGCAATATAGTAACACTTCTATGCTGACCTACTGTATAATTATTAAAAAGAGGTATAAAATTAATATATTGAACTTTATATTCTGCACAGACCACTTGCTACCTCATTCGAAGGCCGACATGGCAGTGTGCGCTATTGGGTGAAAGCCGAATTGCACAGGCCTTGGCTTCTACCAGTAAAATTAAAGAAGGAATTTACAGTCTTTGAGCATATAGATATCAACACTCCTTCATTACTGGTAAGAATTGACTGAATTCTTCATTCTTTGTTTTTTGGCATATAAATACTAAAGAATAATCACCTAAACTATGCAGTCTGTATAATTTTAAAACCGTGATTTCAAATTCCATAAATACTAATATATTTTTTAAAATACAGTCAAGAGCACACAAATTAATGAAGAATATGCTCGTATTTCCTGACAGTATAATGACTTTAAAATTTTCTTAAGTCAAAGCAACATATGGTATGAAATAACTCTTACTCTGAAATTAACAGAATAACAAAAAATAGATCTGTTCCCTGGATAATTTTAGTGGAGGCGGAACAGTACTATCAATTATTTTTATCATAAGAAAATGTCACTTACCATGAAAAGATCATACTCTAAAATTTGGACTGCATTGCATATTCCAATATAGGGATAGTTGTCAAATAATGGGGAGATTGTCACTTTCATGAAAAAACATTACATTTTAAAAGAAATCCTTTTTAATTGCATTTTTTCACAAGATTCAAATTTGACTTTAAAAACTTGATCAGTTTTAAACAAATGATAACATCTTTAGGCAAATAAGAATCCTAAAAATGAGAGTTTTCCTTTTTTCACAAAACTGATTTTTACATTCTCAAAGAAAGATGTTAACATTTGGGATTAGAACCAAGTTGCTTTCCAAGCTGCCTTTTTTTAAGGCAGTTTAAGTGGAATGTGGAAAGGGTTTTTTTGTTTGATTGGTTGGTTGGTTTTTAATTACTATATATGTAAATAGTGTGAGCGAAAACTGTGTTTATGGGATATGTTAAGCCATGTTTTTTTATTTTTTTTTAACTGGATGGAAATTTGTATAAAACAAAAATAATTGTATAATTCAGAAGCCATTGGTTAGTTTTTTAAAAAGTATATTTCAATACACTTGGGGGGAAAAAAGCAACACTGCTTTTAATTCTAATTCCCCAAGAATCGAGAGTTTTATTTTAAAACATTCTGTTACTGCTCTAATTTATACATTGACCCTTTTCCCTAAATTTATTTCTTGCAGTCACCCCAAGCAGGCACAAAAGAAAAGACTCTCTGTTGCTGGTTCTGTACCTCAGGCCCAATATCCTTAAGTGCCAAAATCGAAAGGAAGGGCTATACCCCAGGTATGTATGAGATGGATTCCCACAGAAGTGGTCTTTCTTCTCTTAGCTCTTGTGTGTAAATTTATAGTATTTCTACTAAATGCAAATGTAATACAGTATTCTTTGGTAAAAAAAACTCCGTTTTCTTTCATACATGGGAATGTGGTTTCCTTTTTTCTTTTTTTTTTTTTTAAAGATTTTATTTATTTATTCATGAGAGACACAGGAGAGAGGCAGAGACCTAGGCAGGGGAGAAGCATGGGACTCGATCCCAGGCCCCAGGATCATGCCCTGAGTCAGAGGCAGATGCTCAACCGCTAAGCCACTCAGGTGTCCTATGTGACGTCCATTTTTAAATAGCTACTAGAGGGATCCCTGGGTGGTGCAGCGGTTTGGCGCCTGCCTTTGGCCCAGGGCGCGATCCTGGAGACCCGGGATCGAGTCCCACGTCGGGCTCCCGGTGCATGGAGCCTGCTTCTCCCTATGCCTGTGTCTCTGCCTCTCTCTCTCTCTCTCTCTCTCTCTATCATAAATAAAAATTAAAAAAATAATAATAATAAAAATAAATAGTACTAGAAATCAGTAGTTCATTTTACCAATGTAAGTTACTTGCCACTTTGGGGACAGTTTTTCATCCATGTAGTCCATTGAACTTTCAGACTTATCTACATTTTTAGAGGGTTTTTGATTTGTTTAACAGTAGATACATGTTTTTTTTCTCCAGGTGAATCAATTCAGATATTTGCTGAGATTGAGAACTGCTCTTCCCGAATGGTAGTGCCAAAGGCAGCCATTTACCAAACACAGGCCTTCTATGCCAAAGGGAAAATGAAGGAAGTAAAACAGCTGGTGGCTAACTTGCGAGGGGAATCCTTATCATCTGGGAAGACCGATACATGGAATGGAAAATTGCTGAAAATTCCACCAGTTTCTCCCTCTATCCTCGACTGTAGCATCATTCGTGTGGAATATTCACTAATGGTATGTATAGATTTAAGAGTTTGTTCATTATTAAAGTCATGAGGATATCATTCTGTTTTATTCCAGGGTTTGGTTTTTATCTTCCATGTATCGTAGATATATACATATGTAAACCTTTAATTTGAATTACCACTATTTTATATTACATGTAAATGTACTACACAGTACTATACATAGTGGAGGAACTTTTATTGTGGATTATATATATGTATGTATAAAAGAAAGTAAATGAAAAACTAAGGTAACATTAAAATTGGGTTATTGGTTTTTTAAAAAGAGCTAATGCTTGGAATTCTAAACCTATCATCTCCTTTCAATGTTTTAGGTATATGTGGATATTCCTGGCGCTATGGATTTATTTCTTAATTTGCCACTTGTCATTGGTACCATTCCTCTACATCCATTTGGTAGCAGAACCTCAAGTGTAAGCAGTCAGTGTAGCATGAATATGAACTGGCTTGGCTTATCCCTACGTGAAAGACCTGAAGGTAATTCAATAATGCATGTTTAAGCCTAATCTCGTATGATTATTTTCAAGATTGTAATTTTGCTTCTAGTATTTTATGATTAGTTAAATTTTTGTCTATATCTGCAGAAAGTAGATGTGTCCCTAATGTTAGATTTAAAACATATATCCCCCCTAGTTTTAATCACAAAACAATTATTATTTTTACCTTGACATTCCTTTTTAATACCTACTATTCTGTGTATTTTGACATGCATAAGAACATGCTGTTCGAATTGCGTGTATCTTTTTCCTTCAGCACCACCCAGCTATGCAGAAGTGGTAACAGAGGAACAAAGGCGGAACAATCTTGCACCAGTGAGTGCTTGTGATGACTTTGAGAGAGCGCTTCAAGGACCACTGTTTGCATATATCCAGGAGTTTCGGTTCTTGCCTCCACCACTTTATTCAGAGGTAAGCCCCAGCATCTTGAGTCTGAAATGGGCAGACTCTCCTAGGAAGTAGCACTGCAGACTTTAAAAAAAAAAAAAAGTAGTTAGGTTTTGATTATCATCATATTAATAGAAAAACATAATCTAGAACAACAGGATTAAACATTTGATTCAGGTGTCAAGATTAAGTTTCATTCTTAATTTTTTTTTAATTTTTATTTACTTATGATAGTCACAGAGAGAGAGAGAGAGAGAGAGGCAGAGACACAGGCAGAGGGAGAAGCAGGCTCCATGCACCGGGAGCCCGACGTGGGATTCGATCCCGGGTCTCCAGGATCGCGCCTTGGGCCAAAGGCAGGCGCTAAACCGCTGCGCCACCAGGGATCCCCTCATTCTTAAATTTAATAAGTAGAACTCATATTATTGGGGAAATAGGGATAATGCTCTAAACTCATACTTACAAAGTGCCAGTTAAAGGAACAATTCATACTTTAAAGCATCAATAGAAGTGGCATTTTGCAAGCATGAACTAATTGAGTAACTAGAAGTTATCTTTATCATCCTTTTCCAATGTAATTCTTGCATATAACATTCCCAGTCATAGGGAAAGATAGCATATTTGCAAAACATGTTAGACAAACATTTCTACACGGTTTCTTTTTATTCATCTCATATGAATGACCACGAAGCACTTATGTGAGTAGAACATGACCCTTACTTGGGAGAGGCCTACAGATTGGTGAGAAGAAATTTAGAAGCAAGGTATTCCATAATAAAGTGATTAGAATGCACTCAGTTCATTTGAGGAGCAGTTCATTAGGCCTTGGAAATCGAGAAAGTCTTTCCTGAGAAGGAAGCCAAATCTTCAAATAATTAGTCTTCAAAAGATAATATAGTCCAGGCAGGAACAACAGCATGTGCAAAGACAAGGAGGTAGGGGGGAAATGGAGCAATCTCAGGATACTTGAGAATACATCTTTTTTTTTTTTTTTTTTCCTTTAAGATTTTATTTATTTGACAGAGCAAGCAAGCATGAACGGGGGAAAGGCAGAGGGAGAGGGAGAAGCAGGGAGCCCAATGCAGGGCTGGATCCAAGGACCCCAGGATCATGACCTGAGCTAAAAGCACTTAACCAACTGAGCCACCCAGGCACCCCCAGAATACATCTTAATTAATAAATGTTTTACAGAGCTTTTAAGTTGGCCTTGATACCAATATAATGCCAAATAATTTTGTAAATCACTAGAATCACTCTTCTCTTTTTGGTTATCATAGTTCAGCTATTTAACAATGAATTATTACTCTCAAGACCTAAGTGGGATTGCTTCACTCTAACAAATTGCTTTTTACCTCTTAATATCATGACTTAGAAGAGTCCATTTCAGATGTGATTAATAGAAGAGTCACTTTATTCATTGATTATAGGATATTTAGAATTTGTTCTTGCAAATTTTTGATTAGACATAATTTTTCTAACCCACTATTCCATTTCACAAAATTTTCCCTTACGTGCTAAAAAGATTTTCCCACTTATTACAGATTTGATTACTATATTTTTATGCTGATGTTTCTGTCTTAAGTTAGTCATTTCTGATTTGATCTGAGGCTTTCAGGCTGTACAACAGGCATTTTAAAAGAATGGCAATCTAAGTATCCACTTTTAAGCAATTTGTGGCAAAATTCTACTACCTTCTTTTAAAGTGAACTAAAAATGATTTAATAAAAACTTTTAGGGATGCCTGGGTGGCTCAGCAGTTAAAGCCTCTGTCTTCAGCTCAGGGCATGATCCTGGAATCCTGGGGTCGAGTCCCACATCGGGCTCCCTGCATGAACCTGCTTCTGCCTCTGCCTCTCTCTCTGCCTCTCTCTCTCTCTCTCTGTCTCTCATGAATAAATAAAATTTTAAAAAAGAAAAAAGATGTTAAAAAAAAAAAACTTTTAAAACCCTAAATTGGTTCAGAATGTGATTCAGTTAATAGCCACATAGAACAGAGGAAGTTCTAGATTGTATTAAGGTTTTTTCTCTTTTAAGTTATTGAAAGTTATTTTGCTTTTTTTCCCCTCAAAATGTGTTTTACCTAGTTTTGTGAGGCACTTTAAATTATGCCAAATTTAAATGCAAGTAAAATGGGTCTTGTCCAAAAGATGTTTCAGTAAACGAAATGTATTAAAGCCAATTATTTGCCTTCTTGTGCCCATTCTCTTTGTACCAGAGAGGCAGCTGAGATACAGTCACCTTGCTTGAATATATGTGCATATGAAAGTCACACTAGTAACAGAGGAAGGGGGCAGGCTCCTTAGGCATTTCGGATTCAGCCTTGCTATTTCTTGACAGACCTAATTTTCCTAGGCCCTCTCTAGTGTCTCTTACTCACAAATTATTACTTCAAATATTCACCAAGAACATTATTTACACAACTGCATTCTTCCCAAAGCCTAGAAAAAGAGGAGTTGACTTTTGTAAAAGGATGAAAGGGATACTTTACAAAGATCATTACTACGAAGATGTGTTCTCCATTGTATTTTAGTCTTAAGTACTACGAAGTGCTGAGTAAGACACCATTCACTGATAAAATTTTTACCATTAGCTTTTGGGAAAGAGAACTATTTGGGCATACCTTATTAATCTAGTAATTAAATATCAGCCACTTTATAGATATTACGAGTATCCTTTTCTCCCTTACATGCTGTGTATGTTCTGATTAAACTCTTCAGTAGTACTCAAAATGTTAGTCACTGCTCCATTTTTACTAGACCTTTTCAAATAAGTGTAATTTTTTTTCACTTTTTAGATTGATCCAAATCCTGATCAGTCAGATGATAGACCATCCTGCCCATCTCGTTGAAGGAACACTTGGTTAAATCAAGTTGATGTGGATTCCGAACTGTATCTCTTCCCAGCTGAGGACAGAGAAGTATCTTGGAGACAGACACGTTTTCAGAGGAAGTGGAATTGCTTTTGCCCAGAAAAATGGCAAATACATGAAACAACCAGTGATCATGCTTTAGAAGCCTATAGCAACATTCTGGGACTGCTCCAACATGCTTGAAGATCTAAGCTTTTCTCCTTTAAAACAGGCACATACTAAGAGCAGTCTTCTTAGCCTATGGTCATACGTGTCAAGACACCACGTTGTAAAGAGGGATGATTTCCTTCTTTTGATTTGAAAATTTGCACATGCTCAATGCTTACATTGTGCAGTTCCAATGTCACTACAGCTTTTTTTTTTTCCATTTATGCCAGACTCTTGATACTTTTTAAAAACTTGTTTGTGGTCAGCACAACAAGGAACAAAAGAAAGCTTTGAAAAAACTTTAACATGAAAAAAACGCACTGACTTTTTTTTTTAATTTAATATAGCCTGGACTTTACCTGCGTATGCACATGCTCAGAAATGTCCTACTAGGCTGACCATGTATCACCTCTTCAGCTTGGATCCTATTGTGGATTTATTTACAAACATCAAATGCCTTCAAGCCAATCCTTCTTGCTGTATGTTTTGCAGCCTACTGTAGTAGATACGCAACAGATATGTGGGAAAAAGAGATAAGAGGAGGAAGCTAATAAGAGACTTTGTCAAGATTGTATACCTTCTTGGTTTCTTTTAAGAATTTGTTGCCTTTCTACTATTACAGCAAAGCAGCATTTTGTTACTGACTGCCTAAAATCACTTAATCTCAGGTGAACGCATCACTTGCCAAACTGTTGGAATGCTATTTGTGTTTTGTTGCACTGTTGAGTTATTTTTTTGTTTGTTTGTTTGGTTGGCTTTTTGGAGAGGGAAATTTGGAAAAGGGACATACACAAAAGTGATAACCCACCCACATTCCCTTTTTATCATGACATAAAAGAAGAAACTAGCAGAGCTAAGAATGCAGTAAGAAAGGCAGTATGGCAGGCACCAGCAAAGAGTTAAGGGCTTGTTGCTCTTAAAAATTACCGTTATTTTTATTATTTTAAGAGTATGGAAATTTTCCAGTCACTGGAGAAGAGGAGAAAGTGCATTTATTTTTATACAGAGTTACTTAATTACCTCCAAAACACATATGTTGGAAATCATTTTTGCTGGTGCAGAGTATTTTAATGAGCAGGAATATATATATACACACATACACATAGATCCAAATATATGTGTGTATGTGTGTATATATATATTCAGGTTACAATTAGCTTAATTTATACATTTCCTATCCTGCTCAAGCTTCTCAGAGCTTGAAAACCCAGGTTTATTCTAAAAGTGTATAACTTCAAAATTACAAATACTAGAATGTATGCTGGAATGAGAACTGTTTTTATATTTTTGTGGGGTTTTTTTTAATGTGGGTTTTTTTTTTAATGAAAGTATTTTTTTCCATTACCTAAAGAACATTTTGCTAAATGAGAAACCACTCACTTTGAGTATATATACATAAGAGCAACCACCTCAGTACATTATAATTAAAGATAATTTACAGTTGGCTCATTACAAATATACCAGCATTCATGATGACACTTAAAAACCATTTTCCAAGGTACCAAGTGTACTGATTGTCTTATTTCAGAAAGAATTCAGCTCTGATGTTTTTAATGAAAATCAGCATCTCTGATGTTGCAACATACGTGTGAAATGGATGTTACATCTATCCTGCCATTTAACCCCACAGTGAATAAAGTGGCTGAAAATAATAGTAACTCTGGCTTGGTGCTTGACCTGGTTAAATACTGTCTTAAAGCTTCATACAAAACAAATAGGCTTTTCCATAAGTGGCCTTTAAGAAAACATGGAAGACAATTCATGTTTGAAAAATGCTGACAGGGTGAAGAAAGCCCAGCATAAAAATGAATCGCGTTTTAAGTGATTCAGTAAAGGGTTTGGGCTCCCGTAGCAAACTAATACTAGATAATAAGGAAATGGGGGTGAAATATTTTTTTATTGTTGTTAAATCATTTTGTGAATGTCCCCCTCAAAAGAAGCTAATGGAATATTTGGCATAAAGGGCATTTGGTGGTTTTATTTTTGTTTGGGGGGGGGACTGTCTGAAAAATCCCTTTTCTTTTCTCTCTTCTTATGTCTAACTGACTAGGGAACAATTGTTGATATGCATAGCATTGGAATACTTATCACCATATACTCTTATAAATAACACATGAAGCAAGAATGACCAATATTCTGACAATTGGACTGGGTCACAAAATGTGATTAAATTTTAAATATATAAAACTTTATCAAATAAAGTTTTATTTTCCCCATTAAAATATTTCTTTTCTTTCTTATTTAGAGGCATTACTTTACTCTCTTCTAAATATTGGTCAATTCCTGACATAAGATGTGAGGTTCACAGTTGTATTCCAGTATTCAAGATAGATTCCTGATTTTGCAATTAGGAAAAGTAAAACCCAAAACGTTAGCAAAACAAAGTGCAATATTAAATGTTTGCTTTATAGATTATATTCTATGGCTGTTTGTAATTTCTCTTTTTTTCCTGTTTTATTTGGTGCTGAATATGTCCTTGTAGGCTCTGTTTTAAGAAAACAATATGTGGGAAATGATTTAATTTTTCCTATTGCTCTTCCTTGTGGAAAATAAAGTGTTTTGTTTTTTTCTTTTTTGTAAAATTGTGGAGATTTACTTGAATCTTAATCATGTCAGTCACTCATCATACATGCAAACACTATTAGAACTACAATTAAATTCTATTTTAAGCCATTCTGGGTAAGACTTACTTCAAGCCACCAAAGAGAACTACTGAAACCTTAAAGGAATTTTTAATACTGATTATCAGTGTTTTACTTAATAATCCGTCAAATTATGGATGCTTTTTTAATAAAAGCTGTAAGTCCATTGTATACATTTCAGTCCTCTATATGATCCAAACTTAACCAGGTAAAGTAGTTTCACTTTCAGGTACCAGTTCCTTCTTGCTGTGATGTGTCCCAAGTTTCTATTATTTCAAGAGCACACAAATTAAGTTTTATTAACTAATCTTAGAAAAATATTTTTTATAAACTTTAGAACAACTGTACATATTTTTTTTCTAAAGGAATGTGTGGATTTCACAGTGATTTGTAACATTAGAAGTAGTTTTGGACTACATTAAGAAAATAACCTTTCTTCAGTGTTTATATACTCCTAGATTAGCTATCAGGTTGTATATGTGCCTTATACTATGATTCTCTCATATTCTCAAATTTGTATACATACATAAGGTGTGACAAATGTAGACAATATGTTTATAATCAATTTTACAGATAAGAGCTAGCAATCTACACAATGTCTATACAGTAAGAAATAAAGATGACCAAGGGAAGAACTACAGCATGAGAAGGGGAGATAGAGGTTTTGGGTTCTATGACTTTAGATGTAGCCTTGAACAAGATGTGTGAATTTTGATGTCTTCATCTTCAAGGTGGAAAAGATCTCCAAAGTCCCTTTCATCACTGAAGGCACAAGGTTATAATATATCTTTAGGTAAAGAAATAATGCTCTAAGTCAATTACAACATTGGAAATGAACTACAGTGCTTCTTAATTTGCAATAGAATACTTTTAGACTGAGTTAAGTACATGTTTCAAGTTATATACAATTGATAGTTACCTGGCTCTGCTTCTGCATTGTCATCGATACTTAACAAACTATCACCAGTTAGGATTTACTGAATGACCAAGCTCACTATATTTTTCAGGATTTTTTTTTATTGTAACAGGGAGAAACTCAGACTAGCTTAAGTACTAAAACACTAATAACCAGTAATTCCGAGGATGAACTATATTAAATACATTTGAGTCCAGAAATCCAAATAATGCTCTGAGGACACTTGTCTCTCATCTCTGTTCACTTACCTTTTTCATATTAGCCTTATTCTTTCATAATAGGCCAAGAAAGATGAGCCCAGCTTCTATAGCTCCAGGAGGAAAAGCCATCTGGACTCTCCAAATCACTTGTTAGGGGAGATTCTGATTGGCCAATATCTGGGTTATGTCTCATGCCACACAGAATGGGTTTCCCAATAGAAATCTGTTTCCAGAAGAAGGGAGAAAAGAGGTTACTATATATTCTTGGTATTTCTAGTGTTGTCCAAACCAGCAGCAATGGATCACTTGAAAAGCGCATTAGAAATGCAGTATATCAGGGTCTATCCCAGAATACTGACCCAATACCTGTTTACATGATTCCTAGATAATTTGTAAGTACAGTAAAATTTAAGAAGCTCTGTAGCACACCAAAGAAAATTAAGAGACGAAGACACAACAGGCAACTTTGTTTTCATGAGTCTCAGACTGTAAGTGAGCTGAGGATTTGGGAAACTTAGTAAGTGAAAACTAGGGACGCCTGGGTGGCTCAGCTGTGCCTTCGGCCCAGGGCGTGATTCTGGAGTCCTGGGATTGAGTCCCACATCATGGGACTGCCCTGCATGGAGCCTGCTTGGAGCTGGCTTCTCCTCTGCCTGTGTCTCTGCCTGTGTCTCTCATGAATAAATAAATAAAATCTTGTTTAAAAAAAATAAATGAAAAATAATCATGCCATTTTAAATCTCAAAGTCTGTTTAGGGCTTGATATTTTGGGGATACAATTTTGTAACTACTATAATGATGGGTGGCAATTATTATATTATCAACTAGCATTTCTCAAAACATCCATGACTAAATGATGAAATATTTTGTCTTTTTATTTCTTGATTTCAAAATCAATAGGAGATGCATTTTTCAATTCATGAGAGAAAAATTTATTGATATAAAAAAATTAATTTGACTTTTGAGGAATGTAGTCTGTAATCTTTTTAAGAAAAAAAAATTTAGGAAAATAGCCAGGAAATGCAGTAGATACATGAAGATGGAAATCCAATACACGAATATGTCAAATCCAAAACAACCAGTAGTTAAAAATCCAAATGCACAAGCCCAACTGGAAATAGAACCAATATCATTGTCTTTGTTGAATAGCATGAAGTTATAAGGAAAAGAATATATTTTCTCAAACCAGCTTCACAATTACTAACTTAGGTAACTGAAGTCACGATTATTATAGAGCAAAAAAACAAAAACAAAGTTGCTTTAGAATAGATTCTAACACTTTTATGTTAAGATCATATAGCCTAATGTGATTCACGAAAACAAATGCTTATGACTTGAGTAATTTCTGATGCATTATAGTTAAATCTAACTGGAAATGGATTTTTGCTACTTCTAAATTCAAGACTTCCATAAATTCTCAACATCAGTTTACAATCTACACAAAATGATTATTACCTCTGGCACTGATAGGTCTCTGGGAACATTAATAAAGTTAAAATAGGGAGTTAAAACATCTTTGCATAATTTAGAGATTTACTAGTTACACAAAACAGTCTTATCAGTAAACAGAAGGATGTGAAAAATTAAAATATATTGTCCTAAGTCTAACAGTGATGATACAACAGATGAAAGTCAAATTATTACACTACTATTACTTTAGATGACATGAATTTTTGCTATCTGATCCTTACTGAATATAGGAATTTGTACTTATTAGATCATCTTTCTCTAATGATTAATAGCTTAAATAATGATAGAAATGCAAAAACAAATTGCTAGAATAAACAGCCAGTTTCTGCTTTGCTTTTTTTTTTTTTAAGGACATCATCAACATTTCTACCTTCAAGTGCAAAACACACTTTTATAATCTACACATCTTGACAGATCTGAATCCCAAAAGGTAGTACTCACGATGTTTAGAACAAGAGGAAAATAACAGGAAACTAAGATACAGCACACACATCACATAAACAGGATGCTGGCAGCCCTTATAAAAAGCGGTCCCAGAACCCACAACAACAAAATCACACATGCATTCCCTTTCCAAACTGGTAATCCCAAAATGACAAAAGCATAGGAGAAAATACTCTCTCTCCTTACTATTTCTCCTATTTGGAGAGTCAACTTCAGGAAACCCTTGTGAAGAAACAACCACAGGAGTACACGCTGTGTAGGGAAGCAGTGGACAAATGCCTCCGCTGGCGAGCTTTCATGAGTGCCTTGAGCAGCCTGACCAGGAAAAGCCCCATAAATTCCCTCATTACATCGTCCTCTGTTACTAGTTTCCTACTGGCTACCTCAACAAAATACTTCAAACCAGGAGACCTAAAACAACTGAAATTTATTCTCTCACGGTTCTGGGGGCTAGAAGTCCAAAATCATGGCAGTGCTATACTCCTGAAGTCTACAGAGGCAGACCTTTCCTTGCCTCTTCTTGCTTATGGTGGTGGCTGCCCATCTTTGGCAGTCCTTGGCTGGGAGACCCACCGCTGGAACCTCTGCCCTTTTTTATCTAATGGCCATCTTCTCCTAGGGTCTCTGTCCCTTCACATGGCTTTCTCCTCTGAGTCTCTCCTCGTCTTATACAGACAGAGTTGTGCTGGATTAAGGGTCCACCGTACTACAGCACAAACTTTATATTACCTAATTACATCTGCAATGTCCCTGTTCCAAATGAAGTCATATTCTGAGACACTGGGGCTTAGAGCTGCAACCTATCTTTTTGGGAGACACAATTCAATCCATAACAACCTTCTTTCCTCCAAAAAACAAAACATGCTAATAATGTAGTACCTATAAGGAAAAGCTATCTATTTAGAGGAAATACATTCAGCTATTCCTCACTTTATAGAGCAGATTTAGTCCCAAACTGTAAAATCACTATAGATCGGGGATCCCTGGGTGGCTCAGCGGTTTAGCGCCTGCCTTTGGCCCAGGGCACGATCCTGGAGTCCCAGGATCGAGTCCCACATCGGGCTCCCAGCATGGAGCCTGCCTCTCCCTCCTCCTGTGTCTCTGCCTCTCTTTCTCTCTATGTCTATCATAAATAAATAAATAAATCTTTAAAAAAATAAAATAAATAAAACATGACAAGATATGGGGAAATTTAAAAAAAAAATCACTATAGATCAAAGGAAACATTCCCTCCCTGCTACCCCTTTTTTTCCTGCTGGGTTACTGTTGGGGGTGAGCACTCATCTGAGAGATAAGAAATCTAAGTTCTGGTCCACAGACACTAAGTGGCTGAATGAACTGAACAAGTCATCTGACTTTTCTGATCTTGCATTTCCTGCTTCTTAATCTATGAAATTTCTTGGGGCACCTGGCTGGCTCAGTCAGTGGGGCATGTGACTCTTGACCTCAGGGGTGTGAGTTCAAGCCCCATGTTGGGTGTACTTAAAAAATAAAAACTTAAAAAAAAATGAAATTCCTCTTCCAGCAATACCTTTCCATTCAGAATACCTGATATAGTTGAATTAAAATATCATAACCTTGTACTCAGGTTCTGGACTTGAAGGTTTTATATTACTGTAAAATTTATTATTTCCCTATACTTACACCAATACTACAACCTAAAACTTACACAACTAAATTTCACTCTAGAAAATAGTATATGGTACTATGTAGGCCACTACTTTATTTGAAACAGTAAAAGCTAGCCACGATTCATCCAATAACCATGGGGTTTTAGAAAGCACATTGTGTCAGGAATCAAGAATCCTGCTCCCAGTCTTCCTCTAGCTAGTTGGTCCCAATGTAACCACCAGTGAACTCTCTGGGCCTTGGTTTCTTCATTCTTCATCAGGTAAAAA